CAAGGAAGGCAAGCCCGCTAGGAACACAAAAGCTAAATAGGCTGCTTTTAATGGCAGCAAATGATGCCACTGTCTTGGAATCAAATCCCCAGTAAGATAGATGGTGAATTCCATATTGGAGAGTTTTTCCACCATCAAAGGTCACAGATCCAGCTTTGCTGGCTTTTCTATTCCCCTACCCACCCACTGCTGTATGCCCTTGGTTGGAAGCAAGCCACCCCAGGAAAACTGATTTGAGTGCATGATTGGCACCAAGTCTCCAGTTCGGTGTTAATGGCACATCGCCTGTACAACATCAGTAGAGTATGGGAGTGGAGAAGGGGTGGACGGGAGGAGCATAAAAAAGAAGGTGGAGGAGGGAGAATAAACACGATAAGATGGCTGGGAGGAAAGATGAGAAGGAAAGCTCCACGCAGAAGCAAAGGCCACTGAAAAATGTCCTAGGGTGGGGTTACCGCAAAGGGGTGAAAACCTGAAGGGAGGAAAACCAGGAAATACTGACAGCTGGTGAGTCAGGGCAGGGTTTAGACAGGGAGGTTCAGGCGCCAGGGAGCAGAAATCTCAGTTCAGCAAACATCTCAGGAAGGCAAAGGCCTGGAGGGAATAGCAGCCAATCGAAGTATGTGATGGAACCTGACCAGAGGCCAAATTCCAGGTACAAATCTGGACAATCTCCCCGGTGATATCTTTAGAGGGGCGAGGCTTCCTGTGGAGGGGATGGAAACCAGTTCTGGAAGCTGTTCTCCTGCCATATCCTCAGCCCTTGTGTGGGTGATCCAGGGACCCCAGCTTCCAGCTGAGCCAGCATGGGCAGAGTGCAGTTTGCTGTGCCTACTCGTGTGTAGGGGCTCTGTCTGTTCGGGGCAGTGGGGATGGTTAGGAACTTTGAAACACAGGCTACTACGTTTTGTCTCTTCATAACTCCTAGACCTGATGACAGGACTTCACCCAGTCTGTTTCCCCAGCACCCACTACCAGACAAAACCAATTCCTTCCTGAATCAGACAGGCAGGATGCCTGCCCCCCCCCTCCCCCCGCCCCCCGCCACCAGCCCAGGGGGCTCAGATTCAGTAGAGCCAGCAGAGCAGGGGAAAGCAGCTCTTCAGCAGGCTCCTGGGGACTGGTGGCATCCTGGTGTGACATCAGCAGGGCATGGGCAGGGAGCAAGTAGAGCAAGCCCAGAACAGAGGAGTCCCAGAATTCCCTCTGTTGACTGAACACCCTGGAGATCTTCAGCCTGATGACATGGGGAGTCCGTGCATAGCTTTCCTTGCTTCTGGAATGCATGCCCTGTGTCTTCTCTAGGCCACCACCAAGGTGCATAGCTGGAGATGCTTGATCACAGACTTGTCCCCTCCCTTCTCAGAGTGGCTTTTTCCCTTTGACTTGGAGTCTGTCCCTAAGATCTAAGGCACTCACACTGCCCTTCGCCTGCTTGTGATCAAACACCTTGGCCACTTGTTCCCAAAGTCAAACCAGTTTTTCTTCCTCTCTCTGTCAAAACCATTCTTCCGTGGTTCTCCTCAGAAGGTATCTGCCATGTCCTTAAGTTATGTGACACCTGAAGTCCAAGAAGAGCCTGTCTTGTGTTGGAACTCCCTGTCCCATGAGCAAAAGATGACGTCTATGGGGACACACTTCAGCTTCCCAGGGTCTCTCCAATGACTTCTCATGTGTAGCTCTGTCTGTGGGTTGTGCTGACTCAGCTTTTGGAACACAGAGCCCTGCTCACTGCTGGCATCTGAGCCAGGCAGGCCTCCACACCCCCAGGGAGAATCCTGAGATGGTTAGAGGGGGTGATGGCTTATAAACACCTGTGTGAGTTTCCACACTAGTCCTACTAGGGCTTTCAGAGATGAGATACAGTATATCCGTCATCGCAGTGGGCTTTAATTCAATTTAAGACTCGTTTCCATTACACACAGCCCACAGGTGACTCAGGATGATGCCATTAACGTTTTTCAGAGAAGAGTTCTCAATCAAGGGACAGATTTGGGACACCTTTTCAACGTGCTAACTAGATGAAGACTGTTCTTTCCCCATTTTAATATTTCTCTGGAGAGAAATCTCTTGTCACAAGGATATAATTGTGATCAGAGATCTAAATAACTCGAATATATCTTGACTGCCCTATAGCTGAGAACTCAGTAAGGATCAACATCACTCAGCTCCAAACGTGACCAGAAACACCTCTCATACAATGTAAGTTTCCTTTTTTATCCTTCCTTCAGATGATGTTCTAATTCCTTCCTTCAAACTGAATTCAAACCAGCCAAATAAATGCCCTTTCTCCTGACCCCCAACAGTGTTGAGAGTGACTCTGGAAGCCTGTTGGGGGCAAGCAGGAACATGCCCAGAGGATCATTTCCAAGGCAATGATGACTCAGTCTTTAGGAATGCTAAACAGTTGTGAACTTGGTGGGAGCTCCTGGATGGCCCCCAGAAGCCTACTTGAGCCCCTCAGCAAAGGAAGCAAGCAGAGTCCTGCCCTCTTGTCCCAGGTTGGGGCTGTCCAGAGGCTCAGGGAATGGAAGCACCGGGCTCTTGCATTCTACATGGATAGAAAGAACCCCTGACCCAGGATGGACTTCTACTGCTGATTCCTGGGGAGCCATCACCCCCTGTCCGCAGGAGCACCCTCACCCCTTGCTAGGGCCAGGGCTAAGCTAGCAGACTGGGTCACATGCTCAGCCTTCTGGTTCATGCTCCGCTCCATGCCCACCCCCACCCCCGCCACTTCCTCTGTCTGCATCCTTGCCCATCCTGTGGGCCATAGAAACTGCACATCTGTCCTTCCTGCCCTCCCCTCTCTCTGGGGAAGCCAGGGACTGCTCCAAGTGTCCCTGCTCTCAGGTGTGCACTTTCATTGCGCTCAGAGTTCAGACTGCAGGGTGAAAGCCCCAGGAATTGCTGGGAAGAGCTCCTGGAGACCAGCACCTCTCGGGGCTTCTTTGGCCATCTCAGAGCAATCACCTCCACTGGATCTGAGTGATAATCGGCCACCAGACCACTCCAGAAAAAGACTCTGCTCCATAAATTCATCCTTTAAAGCTTCCTTGTGCCTTTTACCACAAAGAGCTTCCTGAATTCCATGCTTCCCTGTGGGCTCTCTGCAAAGATTCCCTGCCTGCCTCTGCACCACCCAGGCCCCCGTTCCTTTCACACCCCTTGCTGATGATGGTCCCCTGGGACTTGTCCCCTCCAGCCTGCACCCCCAAAAGGGGCTGCTCCTCCAGTCCTGCCCCTTTGCAAGCCTAGCATCAAGTCCTTTTGTTGACCTGGCCTCTAGATTGGACTTCAAGTCATTCTGCAGACCTGCACTGTTTGACTGGGCCCCGTGCTCATCCTGGGTTTCTCTTTTTTGGGCCTAGATTCCTTACTCACGTCTATTTCCCAATTTTCTTTGGGTTTGATCAACTTAGATTAAACCTAAAATAACTAAGTTTTTCCTCCTCTGCCTGGCCTCTGGTCTCCTGACCCCCTCATTTTGTCTGGGGAAACTTGTCAGTTCATCTGGTCCTAAAAGACCACTTGCAGAGACCCTAGGGATGGGGCGGGGCAGCCTTTAGGCAGGCTGGCATGTGCCATAAGCCCTGCTCCGAGCTCACATCACAGGCTTAGAACAGCAGGCCCCAGAGCTGTGGGTGATGTTAACAAAGAAAGAAGGTAAACCTAAACTTAGCCTGTTCCAAGTTGTGTGTCAGCCAGAGAAAATCATAAAAACCCAAGAAGGAAGCAAACAAAGAATGGTGGTGGGACTATGTCCAGGGACCGTTTACCTGAATGCTCTTGTCTGGCTGAGGCCTGGATCACACCCTTCAGCTGAGTCTTACCCCCGACATGAAATATTTCTAAGATCCCCACACTATCAACCACTGACCCCCAGAAAACCTCCTGGAAAATAGTGGATTTCCTCTCTGATGATTCCCAAGGCACAGGAGGGTCTTTTTTATACTTGGAAGTGACAGAGAAGAAGTCCTCTGGCAGAATGTGGGGTGATTGAGGGCTGACTGGATAATCACAAGTCTTCACTGCCCGAGACCCCAGCCCTACCACTCCGGGGCTCTGCCCCGTAACTTCATTACACAGCCCGCTTCACTCCCAGGACACTAGCCAGCTGGCTACCCAAAGTTTCATCTAAATGACTGCTTTATCTGGCTAGGGTGCAAGAGAACTAACAGTTTCCCCTTACACACACACACACACACACACACACACACACAAACACACATGGGTATGTGCGCATGCACATGCACAAGCATGCTTACACACACCCCCTCTCTAACTTTAAGGAAAGCACCTCTGACCCCTTTCCCTTTCAGAGGCAGGTCACGGCCACAATGTCGTCTCTGCTCTCTGAGTCAAGCCTGGACTCGACAGGCCTATTCCTCTTTCTAACCTCTGAGCTTCAAACACAGTGATTGCACCTTCCTCTGACTGGCATGGTCACAACAGGGGAAAGGACCTGGAAGAAGTGTGTGCTGAGGCTGGAGAGAAGGCAGAAGGGACAGTGGGTCAAAGAAGGCAGAGACGCGGTCTAAAGAAATGGCATCTCACTGAGCCGGGCTCCACAGGCCGCTCTGGGGACAGTCCTCCTCAAATGTCCACCTCTGAGTCTCAGCCTCAGGCCCTGTGCTAGCTCCAAACAATGACTGCGACTATCACTGAGTTAATATTTTTCTTTAAACTGACTCAAAAAAAAAAAAGTTGATTTATAAAGAAACCTTGAATCTCTACCACACATAGAAAACCAGTATCGCCTACAATTTTGGTCAAGATAAATAAAATTTGATTAAAGTACAAAAGATTCCTCTATGTCCTATGTAAGTCATCATCTTGGTTACAGCTATTGGTTATGTATCTTTGACGAGACTCTTTTAGGGTGTCTCTTGGCAACCTTCTGCCCTTGTCATCTTGGTTGTGAAATGTGCCCAGACCCTCATCTCTGTGCCTGGATGCCAGACCCACCCTTGGTGTGTGCAAGCTACAGGCTTACTTACAATGCGAGGTTTGAAGGGCGGCTTGATCTTCTTCTGCTCCAGAAGCAGCCAGTCAATCTCCTTGAAGAATGGGTGCTGCTTGATGGCGTCCTCACCATTCTGCGCCGCCACGCAGCCCAGGCGCTTGTGGGGGTTCTTGGTCATGAACTGGGGGGATGAAGACAGAGAGGGAATCAGGAACAGAGGCCCGGCAGGCAGAGGCACTGAGGGGAAGGTGGAGCTCAGCCAAGACAGCATCTTTGGCGTCACCTCCCAAGCCCACTTTCTGTACTTTCAGGAGCTTTGCCCCTCATTCTTAGGTAGGACTTACTATGCACCGGCCCACACTCTACACATGTGTTATACATGTACTGACTCATTCCATGGAACACAGCCTTCTGAGGGACTAACATGATCCCTACTTTATAAGTGAGGTAGTTGAGGCTCAGAGAAGTTAATTAACTTGGCCAAAGTCAAACAGCCAGCGAGGTATCAAGTCAAGATTAGGAACTTAGACTTTTTCTAACCCTCTGATTTCCCCTCAGATTCTTAAATCTTCTCATCAGGGATACTGAAGTCTGATAACCTCATACTAAGAGGTCAACAGTCCTTCTGGAGGTAAGGAAAGAAGACCAGATATTCATGTTAAGGTCAATTTTCAAAGACACCTCCTCCCCTTTCCTTTTCCTGGATATAGGCCCTCCTACTTAAAAAAAAATTTTTTTTAAAATTTGTAATTGCTAGCACAAAACTCAACATAGATTAACAGGCAAAAAACAAGAAAAAGAAAGGCTTATTGCTTCCCAATGCTTGTCTGTAAAAACCACATTGATGTGTTTTGTACTTTTTGGCTGGTGTCTTGTGAACTCACACACCCAAGTGAAATTACTATTCCTACTAAATGAGTCAGTCCTGATGGCAAATGTGAATTTAATTGAGCAGATGTATAAAAATATAACCTTGAAAAAAAAAAATCAGTGCTGGTAGGTGGAAACATTTCTGACAGCCAACCAAAATAAAGGTAGTGGTGTGTGTTTGCATGTGTGTTAGAGGCTGAGTGTTACATCTCATGGGGTGAAGGCTAAGAGTTTAAACAAAGGACCTTAAGAGGTCAACGTATAAATTAAATTCAGAGGGATAAATCTATAATGATGGCATTTCAGACTTCAGCAAGGGAGAGTTTCCTGGGCAGCAAGAACTTCCTACTGACTCCTGCCTGGCACTGCTGAAACCAAAGAATCTTACCTGGGCAGAGATAAGAGGGTGAAGAGGTGCTGGGTAGATGCTTCTCATTTATTTAAATTATAACTTGTCTAAATGTTTTTCTCCATGGTGAGCTCTATAATATAGGAATCAGTCCTATCTTCCCAGCATCTAGGTCCATGCCTGGCTCTCACTGTGCACTCCATCCAGTGAGATGAGGGAACAGTGGGTTGAAGGCTGGGCCTCAGGGCACAGGGCTGAGGAAGGGAGGGAGCAGGACGCTACTCACCGCTGCACAGGTGGTGCACTGCATAACTCTATGGTGCAAAAGGCTTCTGGAGAGTTCTGCACGTAGGCAGCAGCCCTCAAGAGACACGGCTCAGTGGCCAGAGTCATGGAAAACCTGGCCTGGCCCTAGAATCAAGCGACAATGTGAGGAAGTGAAGTGTTCCAAGGCCAAGGGAGTAGAAGACTTCTCCTTGCTTCCTCAGCTCTTCCTGTCCTCCCACTTCTGGGAGGGGAAGTATCAGGGCCATGGATAAACACACATGTTTTAGCGTCTCAGGAAGCTGACCCCGAGCCAGAGTCTCGTCTTTTCCCAGACATTTCACCCTCACCAACCAGCTGACACAGGCACAACCTGCTTCTTCTCGATCTCTGTAGGGTGAAGCTTCCTCTGTGCTGATGACAGTTTGGACTGGATACTTCTTAGCTGTGGGGGCTGTGCAGGGCAGGGTGTTTAGTTGCATCCCTGGCTTCACCCGCTAGATTCCAATAGCATCCCTCCCCTCCAAGCTGAGACACCTAAAACATCTCCAGACATTGCCAGATGTCTCTGGGGGATGATGGAAGTGGCGGGGGGGGGGGGGGGGTGGGAAGGGGAAAGGGCAAAATCATCCCTAGATGAAGACCACTGCTCTGATCATTCATAATGAAATGGTCCCTCTAGGGTACCGGCAGGGTGCTCACGGGAAGGTGAGTCAGGTTGGTGTCTGGCGCCCAGGGTGAGTGATCAGCTCTGCTGGGGGCATCCTCAGCTGCCTCAGGTGCTACAGGGTCTTCCTTTGCCAGCACCTGGCATAGTGTCTGGCATATCCAAATGCCCAATAAATAGGTGTTGAATAAATGAGTAAATGAACATATCCTCTTTGCTTCTTTCACTGCTCGTAGCCCAACTGTGACCACCTATGGATGTGTTTTTTAACTTAATTCCCACCTTCTCCTGCTGGATCATAGGCTCCACAAAGCAAGAATGATGGCTGTTACACTCATGCAGCATCTAGCACAATGCTAGAGGAAAACACTGCACAATGCATATAGGAAAACACTTAACAGATAGTTGTTCATTGAATCAAGGAATTGGAGGGAGACAGAGGAAGAGAAATAGATGTGGGAGGGAGGGAAGGAAGGAAGATAAGAGAAAGAAGGGAAGAGGAAGGAAAAAATGAACTGCAGAAAGAAGCAACATGTTCTGATGTAGCATTTTCCAAAACATGGTAGGAGTCCCCTCCAGACAACTAGGAAATGATTTTAGGCCTTTTTACTGTTTTTATAGGATGATTTATGTTAATCAATTATGTCAAGTGATACCAATTTTCCATTTATGATAGTGATGTAATATTTCTGTATATATACAATTAGGTAAATATTGGGACTTGACTTGGAAAACAAGAAAAATAAACCATGACAGAGCAAGTATTTTGATATGGCAAAGTTTGGGACTGTGGCATGCTGACTCTGAACTTTGGGGTGTTCTGAAGGGTGAGAGAAGCCAGGAACAGAAGTCAGGGTTCCTGGGCTGTCATGGCCTCAACCCAGTGAAGTGACCCTCCCCAGGTAAACTGGTCTGTTTACATTCCCTGCACCTCACCTCCCCCAGCATTCCCAGGGGGACAGACAACTTCATTTACTTGCCATAGTGCAATGTTGTAGCCATGGTTATACTGAGCAAGTAGTAAGCATTATCATCTGTAAGGGACTATTTTGTGGCATGGGAAAGTCTACTACATCTGAATCCATTGTGGTTACAGGGATCTTGAGAGGACACATCTTCTTTGATAAGTGTTGCTGTTGTCGACACAGGGGTACAGCGTCTCCCCCTCACCACCTTTCTCTCTTCCCCATCGCAAGCCCCAGAGGTAGACAGACATGGGTGGCAGATCAGGAAAGGGGGTACTGCCCCAAGACTGTGAGCAGTAGGGGTGACCCCAGCACCACTGGGGTTGGTCTCCCCCTCTGCAGCTCTGGAGGACACACAAGTGCACAGAGCTTTCCTCTGGGAATGCAGATGTGGTATCCCTCTACCACAAGAAGAGCAATCTGCCCCAGGCTCGATTTCTCAACAGCAGCCCCTGTAGTGAACCTGAACTCCCAGGGTGACTGCCCTCCACCCCTTCGGTTGGGCAGTGAGCAGAGGTGGGATGGGGAAGGGGGGGTGCGGGGGGAATGCGGGGGAGCAGAAAGAGGGTGAGGGCCGATGACTCACAGCTTTCAGGATGCTGACCGCCTCCTTGCTGAGCCAGACCGGGTAGAGCACGTCGTCGTGGAGGATGGACTCAAACAAATCGTCCTCGTTGTCAGCCTCGAAGGGGGGCTGCCCAGCCATCATCTCGTACATCAGTACCCCCAGGGCCCACCAGTCCACTGAGGGGCCGTACTCCAGCTCCTGCAGGATCTGTTCAGGAGATGGGCAATGTCAGGGTTCCCCTGCAGGCTGCCCTCCGAGGCCACGCCTGCGCCACAAGCGGCCTTGAGAAGACCTGGATTTCTATTTCCAGCTTGTTCTTCCATAGAGTAGGGCTGCCTTATAAAAATTTGGGTTCTAAATCAGCTAGCTGAGTGAAAATTGAGTTTGGGAGGCACAGTGTAGGGGCCAGCTTTCCAGAGTCAACACCCACAGTCTGCCTTCCAGTGGGAACAAATTACTGCTTCTTTGCTTGAGTACCAGCTGAAGTTCCTGACTTGTATGGAGGGCCATGTGAAAAAATTGTGCATATTCTTGAAACTAAAATCACAGTGAGTGAGTGCAGCAAATTTAGGTCTCCCCTCACTAAAGAAGGGTGATCAGAACCTCTTTAGCTAGTGACAATGCTGAATTCATGGAGCCCTGGGCTCTTGGAAAAGAAACTACAGTTAATAAATCTCCCCACCCATTTGTGTTCTAATCATAAAGGACCACTACGCTCTTGCATATTCTGAGAAAAGACCCATTTCTATTATTCCTCATGACTTTCCTAAGGCCTGCTGACAAATCATTTTCCTTCCTTTATAGAGCCCCAGACCCCCTTTTAAAAAATGATTGAGTGCTATTTTATCTTTATAACAGTTTTTACATAGATTATTTTCTTTTTTCTAATTTACTGGTGAAAAAAAATCAAACATTTAATTAAGTGACTTGCAGAAAATAAAGCCAGATTTATGCGCTCATTCCAATCTTACTTCAGCTTTGACTAACTTCAAAGTTTGTGTTTTATCCATTACTAAATATTGTTAAACATGACACTAATCTGCTTTGTGGTATATTCATTATAATTAGCTCACACTTTTGTGCTCAAACATATAATAAACTCCATCAATGTCTTACCATGTAACTTCACTTTTTGCTTGTTGGTTTCATACTGAGAACACTAAAGAGGCATGGATTTTAATTAGCTTAACATGTGGGTTTCTTCTGTCAGTGATCCTTGGATATTGAGTGGACTCCCTCCTTTTTATTTCAGGCAGTCCGTAAAATTCTCCCTATTGCAAGAGCCCAAATCAAATCCTGGTTGTCTGGTGCATTTTGTCTTGGCACTTGTCTTTGGGTTTGTCACTTCCCTTATCTATGTTCTCTTTGCCTCCTCCTCCAAGTATATGGAGTCAGAGTCACTCAGGTTACATGCACTTAGTACCTGATGCTGAAGACATGCTGACGTCGGCTTCCTGCAGAATAGTGTGTGAGGACTGAAGTGTTACAAATGGAATCAGAATGTCAGTGCAGGAGAGGAACTCTGAGTTGAGAAGCTGCAGAACTTTTGGAAAAGCAAGTAACTTCCCCCTCCTAATTTTTCTGCAGTGCTGGCCAGGTGCTAGAGACAGAAGATCAACCAGGAGGTGTCTAATTTCACCCCAAGTTTGGCATTACATTTCTGGGTGATCTCAAGCCAGACAGTTGACTTCCTCACTTATCAGATGAGGCTCAGATCCTCAGCTTAACCTCACAAGATTAATTAAGATGGAGGATTCCAAAAGCCTACTGCAAATACAAAGCTCTATATAATTGGAAGGTGGTACTAAATCTAATTTTACTTCTCCAAGGTTTCATCTCCATGTGTGTGCATAGTATGTAGCAGGTCAGTGATGTGTAATTGGCTCAGAGCAGAAAGAATGCTGGGTGTCCCCACTGCTAAGGAAGTGATGTTCCTACCCCACAGTGATGTTTTCTTCTTATCAGTCAGCAGGACCAGGCGTGGTGCTGCCCAGAGACAGCAGGGCAGGTGAGAGGTCATCTCTGATTGCTCAGTGCTATCATTCTACAAAGAATTCCAAAAAGTGAAGGGAGAAGAAGCACGACTGGAGCGCACATCCTCAAAGGGGGAATATTCTGAAGACACCTCCCCAAATGGCAACGGTCACTCCAGCCTGCAGGTCACCCCAGGCAGGTAACTTCTCAGGTCACCTATTTCAGAATGAAGCTCCAGCTCAGTTCTCAGATTACCAGACAGAAGACGAGGTTGAACTCAGGTATCTGGACTGTCTGGGGTCTGCTCAAAATGCCCTTCTCAAGGTTGCAGGTTGCTTGGGATTAAATCAAAAGGTGGGAGAAGCATTTTGGCAACAGTAAAAAAAAAAAAAAAATGCACATTTTAGGACACTTTAGAACTTAGAATGAAAAGGAATGTGAGCAAATGCAGCCAACTTTAAATTATTTGAGGCTGGTAATCTGCTTGGTTAGGACCTTTGGTCTCTCAGTCCAGTGGTCAGTACATGGTATCTGAAAGGTCAAAGCTATAGGCTCCACTGAGAAGCCAGTAAAGCTGCTCGGTGCCAAAGCCAAAGTCTGAGCCTCCCTCAACCTCGAAAGACCCAGAGCCCCAGCCTGGCTCACTGTGGTACCACATTCAAGGTCATGGTTATGACCAAAAGCTTTCCTCCAAAAAGAGTTCCTGGATCTCTCCAACCTTTCTCCTAGTCTTTGGTATCCTAAGACCCCTGGCCTTAAGATTTGATAGGCACTTTCCACATACTATCATGATTTTAGCTATTTTTTCATGGTCAACTGTCTCCCCAGGGCATCCATAAGCCACCAGAGGATAGGGGCTCTGGCAGTTTTCTGGATCTACTCATGACAAGCCTGTTTCCAACAGTCAGGGAGACTGGCTGCCAGGTGTGTCCACTGGGTGTGTCTTCCAGGGCATGCTCCCTTCTCTCCTGGGCTCTGGGGACCCTGGTGCTAAGTCAGTCAGTCAGCCAGTCCAGTCGCTCAATTGTGTCTGACTTTTTGCGACCCCATGAATCGCAGCACACCAGGCCTCCCTGTCCATCACCAACTCCCGGAGTTTACTCAAACTCATGCCCATCTAGTCGGTGATGCCATCCAGCCATCTCATCCTCTGTCATCCCCTTCTCCTCCTGCCCCCAAGCCCACCCAGCATCAGGGTCTTTTCCAGTGAGTCAACTCTTCACATGAGGTAGCCACCCGCTAACCTCAGGGCAGGGCGGGTACAGCTGGGTTCTGTGCCTTCTTGGTGTGGTGGGGAGGTAGCTTCCAGGTGACCCCGTTTGTGTTCAGACAGGATGGTGCTAGGGAAACCACCAGAGAAGCACTGTCCACCTTTCCCCAGGCCCCTCCAGAGGCCTCCTGTTTGGGGTGGCATCTTTAATAAAACCTTCCTCAGGTTTGACCCTAATTATCTGCTTCCAAATCACCTTGTCATGGATGGAGCTGGTGAGAGGGCAAGTCTTCACATGCCATGGGAGGGTACCTGGCGTGGCAGCCAACCCCTAGAGGGGTCAGAGCTGGGGAGGAAGAGCAGGCATTGGGCCTAATGACACCAGGCACTTCCTAGGGCTGGCCACCATTGTCTGGGGAGCCGGTGAGGAGATAGGGGAGGGGTTGCCATGAAGGTCAGCCAAGGGCATGTGGTGGAAAGAGAAGCCTCAGGGCAGAGTCAGTGCCTCAGAAGGTTATCTCTGGTTTCAGGGTTAGCCAGGCACTTCACAACCCCTCCTATTTGGATATAGGCTTATGCTTTCTGAAGCATTTCCATGCTCTAATTGCATTAGATTCTCAAAACGTTTGATGAGGTGGCTAGGGCAGGAATTATCATTCCCATTTGAAAGATGAGGAATCTGAGGGTCAAAAACATTTTATGACTTGGTCAAGGTCACATGGGGGCATTAGTGGTTAAGTCCAGCCTGGATTCTCAACTCTTAGGACTGTGCTTTGCTCACCCCACTGCGTAACCTAACAACCATGATGATTGTGAGGGAGCCACTGCTGACCCAATACTTACTGTGGTCTGGGCACTGGGCTAAATGCCTCAGCAGCATAATTTCATTTAACCGTCTCAGTGACCCTTTGATAAAGGGAGCAATACCCTTATCAGCTATAATTTGCCTACAGTAAGACCAGGAATCGTTAGGCATTTCACACGGAGTGGTGATGCTGCCTAGTTGACACAAGTGTAGAATGACAAGGAACAGTGTCTGGGTCCCACTATAGAACAGAAACCAGAGTTATCCATTGTGAGTTTTGCCAATGGATTGCCTTTCATGAAAGTTGTGTGGGTGTTCTGTTCATCACAAAGTGAATGTTTGTCTTGGGCTGGGTCCTTAACTACTACACTAGGCTGTCAACACTTTGACTCTGACATCAATTCACAGAAGGCCTAGAACCAACCATTCTGATGATAAAGAGTGAATGAGGAAGGTGGTGGAGAAACAGGTTTCAACTGAGAGGCCTTGCTTTCAATTTCTCCTTGAAGGTTAAACTCCTAGTGTTTCTGCTAAAAGAACTTACTTGTAGAGGCAGTCTGAAATCTCTACTCTTGAGATCTTTTAGAAGATAGAGGTTCCAGTGAGACTTTACCTATTACCATCCTCACTCTTCGAACCTCCTCAGGCCTTCCTGAGTCTTTTTATTTTTTATTTTTCTCCCTGAGTCTTATCTGGGCTGTAAAAAACTCTCAACCAATCTTCTCTGGCCCTCTGGCTTCTGATATACATTCCTGTTGCCTGTCTTCTTTCTGGGACAGGTCTGATGATGACCCTCCCTCCACTGGGAAAACTTCAGTGGATCCACAGATCCTATAGAATAAAGGCCACTTTCCTTGGTCCTTTTTCTTAATCTTGTTCATTACTAAGAGCACTAAGAAATCCTCTGTTCTGGCCATACTATCTTCCTTTCTCAGAAAGGCCAAGAATGTTCTCGTCCCCCAGGCTTTGCTCATGTTAGAGTATTACAAGTTCTTATTTATTTATTTATTCATTCAACAAACCATTACTAAGAGACTGATGTGTGTGCCAGAGTCTGGGAGTACCCAGATCAGAAACAAAGCCTCTGCCTTAAAGGATTCAGAGCCCAGGGATACTGGTTCTCCTCCCCTGCCCCACACCCACCCCAATCCTTCCTGCTGTTTTTGGGAACGCCCCCCACTGCATACCACCAAAGGAAATCCTGCAGACTCTCTGCAACTCAATTCATCCACCAGGTACCCTAAGAAACCTTCCCTGAGTCCTGATGTTACCATCTTGTGCACCTATTTATTCTGCCTAACTAGCTGTTTACTTAACTAGCTGTCACTCTCTCGAGAACACAAAGGCCTTTTAGGAGAGCCACCAGGGTCTCAGTAATTCTTCATCCTCACATCACTTTGTCTCGAGCAGGTGCTCAAACAGTGCCCACTGGAAGGAAATGAAATCTGCCTGTGCTAACTCCTACTCACCATGGACAATGCTTAAAAGGGACTAGTACTTCCTTCTTACCTCACATGTTTCAGAACCCTTGAGACCATTTTTATTAAGTATCTGTGACAGACTATGTCTTAAATCTGAATCATTCCACAGTAGGTATCTCTCAGTCTGGGCAGACTGACCTGGAGAAAACTCAGGGCAAAGAAAACACATTATGATGAACAAAATATCTAAGCAACTTCCATAAAAGGCAACCCACTGGTGAGCCTCACAGTGAACATCTCTGATCTCCACTAAAACGAGGCTCAGATGCTCTCTGCTTCCAGCTCAACCTTGTGTGCCTGCTACACAGAATCCGTGATACATTAGAAATGGCAGCTAATTTTTGGTTTTACTGTAGGCAATTAAAGCTGCATAGCTAAACTCTGCCTTTATCAATGGTGCTCCTTTATTCTGGTTACTAAAAAGTGAAAACAGGGCTTTCCTGGTGGATCAGTGGTAAAGAATCCGCCCATAAATGCAGGAGACACAGGTTAAATCCCTGACTGAGGAGGATCCCACATGCCATGAAGCAACTAAGCTTATGTGCCACAACTATTTAGCCTGTGCTCTAGAGCCCAGGAACTGCAACTACTGAAGCCCACGTGCCCTAGAACCTGTGTTCTGCGATGACGAAGCCATCACAATGAGGGGGCACGCATCACAACTAGAGAGAGCCCCTGCTCCCTGCAACTAGGGAAAAGCCTGTGCAGCCACCAAGATTCAGGACAGCCAAAATAAATACATAATTAAAAAATAAAACACAGTACTACCTTAAGAAAAGTAAAAACAATAATACAAGTCAACAAGCATTGCTTGGTCCTAGCTTCGTGATGGTTCTGGACTGGAATGAGATGGGATGCTCAGTGAGGACCTGGCCAGCTTCCGGGAATGGCCTGTTGTTCTCAATTCACTGTTCTCTCCTCATCACCACTACTTCCTTATGGAGAAACCGGTATGCCTTTTACCTTTCCTTTTTTCCCTCCTCCCTGGAATTCATCCTGGTTTTCCAGAGTCTTCACCTAGCACTGCTAGATGACCCCAACACATGAGAGTGAACTCAGGCCTCAGCCCTGGCAGTGGGAGAAGGTAGCCCCCTCCTTCATGGTCTTACCTCGGGAGCGATGTAGTCAGGTGTCCCGCAGAAAGTGGTGGTCGTGACACCATTCAGAATCCCTTCCTTACACATCCCAAAGTCAGCCAGCTTGCAATGACCTTCTGCATCCAGAAGGATGTTGTCCAGTTTCAAATCCCTATAAGACAGGGCAGAACCACATGATTAATGCTTCACTTATCCCAATATGACCTTTCTAGCTGGAGAGATATGCACATCTCAGGGAAATCTGCTACAGAAAGGGAAGTCTTCAAGGAGGCTTTACCTGCCAACAACCGACCACATTCCAGGGCTCTCACCCACATGGCCACCCCCGACCCAAAGATGCCCCCCATTCACTCCAACATGAGGGAGGAATTTCTGTAACCTCAGGAATGTCTAAACCCTGCTTTGGTTTAAAAAAGTCAGCAGCTATTCATTGAAGCCCTACTATATGTGGAAATTTGTATTATTCAGATCATGAGTTAATCATAGGAATCAGCTGGAAGGACAAGACTGACATATTGGAACCAGGTAAGCAGATAAAACACATAAGAACCAAGTGCTACTTTGCAAGGCACTATGTGGGCTATTGTTTTCAGTAGGGAGATCACTGATGTCTGGTGTAGGTAGGGAGGGCTTCCAGGAAACCGACTCTCAAGAGAAAGGATAGAACATGAAGAGAAAAGGTGGGAGGGAGGGGAGGGCCAACATGATAGATGCAAAAGGCAATGAAGAGACCAGAGAACTGGGTCCCCAGGATATAGTGAGGCAGGACAGGCATGTTGAAAACAACCATGAAGGGCCTAGAACACCAGGAAGAAGGAAGTTGAGATTCAATCTGAGGGGCTGAGGATAACTGAAGCCCAGCCTGCACAAGCAGGAAGCATTTGCAAGATCAGTCTCCTGGGGGCAGGCAGGCCGAGTGGGGGAAGGGTCTGAGTGCAGGAAAGAAGGCATAGTAGCTGCAATTCCCAGGACCCATAAAGCTGGGTGGTTCTCAGGCCTCAGCCGCTGCGGCTGCCACACGGCCAGTTCTACAGTTTGGAGTTCCACGTAAGATCTCACACATAATCTAGGATTCTGGATGATAAGTCCCCTACCAGGCAAGTCTGCAAATTCTAGACCCGTCTCACAGAAAGATCCAGATGGAGGTCCTCAGCCTGGGTCTCTCTCAGCAGTCACTCTGGGGTGGGGGTGGGGGGTCTTGCAGAGACAGATGATTCCCCAGCACACAGGGCAAGAGGGACCTTTCTCACAGGCCTGCTGGCGTCTGGACTTGAACTCCAGCCACCGTCAGGAATCCAGGCCTGAGTGCAAAGGTGCAGCAGGAAGCACTCTGAGGCTGGCCTGTCCTGCACCCGTGGCCCCATTTCCTCGTACAGCTGGGACTTCTTGAGAAAAAAAGAAAGCACAGAAAATGTGCTGCCCTAAGCAAATGCCTGGGAACTACAGAAAGAAGAGTGCATCCAAGCAGCGAGCCCCTGGGACCAGGGCTCACCAAGTCCCCTCCCTGGCCACTGTGCAGTCAAGGCTGGGTTCTAGCTGGCTCGATGGGGGTGGGAAACAGTGCGAGGAACACGACTCGGGCTCAGGTAGCCTGGGTGACAATCACTACAGGGGTTAGGTCCTGTGCAGGTCTGTGATCTCGTGTGCTGGTGGGAGGGACTACTGTGGGGAGTGTGTCAAAGTAGCCCATCTTTAACACCTTTACACATGAGGGCAACACAGAGGGAGCTGGGAGTCCAGCAAACGTGTGAGTGGCTGAGGCTGACTCACGGCCCCACTGAGTTAGGGCCCCTACTTGCTCTCTAGACTGGAGCTGCCTTTCCAAGACCCACCCCTGCCCACCATGATCACCACAGCAACACTCAGGCTACTAACAACCACAGCCTGCGGGAAGCGCACCTGGTCATCAACAAACCACAGTCGTATTCTGAACAACCGACAGTTAGGAAGAGCACTCTCCACATGACAGTGCAGAAACTAGCCAAGGGAAGGCGGAAGAGGTAAGTGATTTCTGTAAGGTGACAGGGTGCTGATGGAGCTCGAACCTGAAGCTGGGGACCACTGCCTCTGGGTATGACACTCCCCCACCTTCTGGCCTTCTCAGTGAGATTTTCAATGCCAGGCACCAACCCCAAATTTAAAAGGAGCCCCGCATGCTATTGCTCAAAGCACTCTCTTTGAAAATGTCTGTTATGTCACAGGAAAGACTCGTTTGCTTCTGTGTGAATGGAATAAATTCAGTAGATTCTGAGCCAGCCTGAACCTTGCCCTCATTCTGAAAGTTGCGACTCAGCATTTCCGGTCCATCAAGCTCAGCCTTTCCTTCTGCTTAGGGCTCCTACTCAGAGTAAGAGAAGGTAAACCTTCAGTTCGCCACTGTCTCCCATTCTTCTCTGCCCACCCTCGCCCTGGCCCAGGTGCACACCATCCCTGGGCTCTCTGCCCCTCTCCCCTCTGGGGGAGAGAAGCCACTCCTGATGAAGGCCAGGGTGGCCACCAGAGCGAAGCACATTTTGCTGGCAGCTGGCCCTCTGCTGTGGCAAAGGGAGGCCCCAGGCCAAAGCATTTCTTCCTGCTGTCTTGTCACTGGTGCCTGACATATTCCTCAGATTCCCCCTCCACTGTCTATATTTATCTAAACTTCAACTCCCCACACGAAACCAAGTCCCAGGGAAGACTTCATGATTTATGTTCCTTTCCTTTGTAACAGGAAAGATTAGCATAGCTTGAAAGACCCCTGGGTGCCTGAAAGGCCTTTAGTGAAACTCTATTTCTCTGGGGGGTCTTCTAGTCTCATTAAAAAGAGAAATACCACAGGGACCAAACATGTCCTGTCTCAGGCTCTCAGTGAGTCCCCAGGTGGGGTTTCAGGGGATGGCAGTGCTCAGAAAAGCCCAGGGCCAGGGTTGCTCAGGTGGAGAAAGACAGAGGAGGGGAGGGGATGAAAGCTGCTGGGGGAAGGGGGTAGCCTTGAAATTCTGCTTGTTGCGCAGCCAGTTGAAGACTGTGGTCCCCTCATGATCTCCCTCCCTCCTTCTCCAACCAGCATCGCTGTTCCGGAATCCCTGCGTTTCTACTTGCTCTTCCTGCCCCAGGATTTCTCTCCTTTGGGCTTCTAGCGCTGCCTCTTTCTAAGGATCCCTAAGCTTCCCCAAATAGCGGGGTGAAAAACAGTCCTTTCCTAGCCTTGCCTTCCCTGCAGTCCAGTTTGCATGGCAGAGGACTGGGCTTTTCCTTTTGAGAGACGTTTCCCCTGGCCCTTGGGTCATGGCTGAGCAAGGAGTAGGTACTTGCCAAACTTGGGGACTGACAGCTTTGCAAAGAGGGGCTCCAGCCTAGACATCAATCCTTCTCTATTCAATCCCCAAATACAAGGTCAGGGCACTTTTGAGGACTGGAACATTGTTTATGGAGTTGTTGTCCAGTTGCTAAGTTATGTCTAACTCGTTGCCACCCTAGGTACTGCAGCGTGCCAGGCCTCCCTCTTTCTCACCATCTCCCAGAGTTTGCCCAAGTTTATGTCCATTGAATTGGTGATGCCATCCAACCATCTCATCCTTTGTCACCCTCTTCTTCTGCCTTTAATCTTTCCCAGCATCAGGGTCTTTTCCAATGAGTCAGCTCTTTGCATCATGTGACCAAAGTATTGGAGTTTCAGCATCAGTCCTTCCAATGAGTATTCAGGGTTGATTTCTTTTAGGATTGACTGGTTTGATCTCCTTGCAGTCTAAGGGACTCTCAAGAGTCTTTTCCAACACCACAGTTCGAAATCATTGATCCTTTGGTTTAAGGAGTAGGTTTTTCTTCTTTTTTTTTTAATAATGGAAACAAATACAGCAACATCCCTTTCCTTATATATGAGCCAATGTGACAGGCCTTTATCAAGCTGATATACTAATAGTTTCACTCAATCTTTTTCAATAGGTAATACATTCATGTGTTCATAAAACTCAAAGTGTAAAGGGCATACAGGAAATATTCTCCCCTTTGCCTCTGTCCCTTCCCCGCTATAGGCAATTGCTTTTAACTTATTCCTTGTGCATTCTCTTGATCACACTTTAGACATAAATAAGAAAATGTGAATACACATTCATTTCCCTCCTTTAACTAACTGGGAACTTGTTATATGCACTAATTTGGACCTTGTATCTTTTACTTATTTACTGGATATACTGGAAATCTTTCTGTCTTGGTACATGAAGAGCCTCCAAATTCTTTTCTATGGTTGCATAATACTCCATCATATTTTTGGGGGGCCTGTTTAAGATGCTTCTAATATTGTGCTACTATAAATAGTGCTGCTGTGGCTTAGCTTGTACATATGGAATCTTTACATATATGAAGGTAATTGTGCATATATCCTAGAAATTTGAGTCTAACAGTACAAAAATGTTGATTTTGATGAATGTTGTCAAACTGCTCTCCTTGGAGGTTGAACAATTTATACTTCTAGAAGCGAAGGTGATAGTTCCTGCTTGCTACCCTGGTGTGTTATCAGGTTTCTGGTAGTCTGATAAGTAAAAACAGTACTTCAGTATATATCCTTAGGTTTCTCTGTAAGTTTGAGCAATTTTCCTATATTTGAAAGTGATCTGTATTTTTTTTTCTCCTTGAATTGTCAGTTACCCATTTTCCTTTGGTGGTGTTTCTTTTTTGTTGATTGCCAGGAGTTCTTCCTATATTAGGAAACAGCCTTTGTGTGGGCTAAGAATTGCAAATGCTTGTCCCAGTTTACTCTTTGACTTTGACATTGCTTATGCCAGTTCTTGCCAGGCCAATATTATTTTTGATGTAAGTGAATTGATGTTTAATTTTATAGGTTTTAGAGTTTATGTTTTCATTTGAAAGGCTTTGCTCTACCTATTTCAAAGTTATAAAAGCATTCTCCCAAGGTTTTTCACTAGTACTTTTATGCTTTCATTATATAAAATAAGTCCGTGATATGCTTGGAATTTATCTTGATAAAACGTAGGAAGTATAGATCCAACTTTGTTTTCAGACTTCTAGTAAAGTGTCCCAATCCCATATGTTAAATAGTTCATCCTTTCCTCACTGATTGAAAAACTACCTTTATCAAATACTGGTATTAAATGTCCATCTATATTTGGATTTATTCCTTTACTCTTCACTCTATAACGTTGATCTGTACCA